AATGTTTACACTATTCTTCTTGCTAAAAACTAGTGTACTTGCTTTAGCCCAATCCCATTTAGAAGATAAATCAAAAAAATATTAAACAAAATGTTAGTTACATTTTGCAAAATCAACAATTAGGATATATGTAAGTATGTAACAAAAGATTGATTATTTTATGACGACTTAAAATTTAAATAGGCTTTCTTTTAAAGTTGTATGAAGCTTAAATCTACATATCTATTATGAATATTAAATATTAATATACAAATATGTACTTACAAATTTCACGATTAATTAATTTAATAACAGCAACAAAAGTCAAAACTCAACCAGTCGACGGACATAAGTTGACTAAAATGTTTAAAATAGGTGGAAATAGGGACAAAGAAACAAATACATCTAATACCAAGACAAAACTGGTTTTAAAATTTTATTCTGCACATAAATGCATTTTTGATGTTTTTTTTGATTTTAGGACACATTTTTTTCTTTTTATAATTTTTGATACATATTTTTGTTAATTATATAATATTTTGGTAAATAGTTATTAGTTTGGTAATACAGTCGAATCCGCTTAATAAAGACACCGGTTAATATGGACAACCGTTTAATAGGGACAATTCTTCAATTACGAAAACAAATGTATACTTCAATACTTGTAGGGTAAACGTTCACCGCTTATCTGGGCCACGAATTCGGATAATTGGGACATTTTTATCGAGTATATTAATATTAATAGATCAGTAGTTCGAAAATCGCGACCGACTCGCGTAATCATTTATTAGATTAAATTTTATCTTATTGTATGTTCACATGTGATGTATGTTAAATGTTATTTGGTGCATCAGTCGTGTTTGTCGCGTGTATTAACGATGTAAAATACAATGTGCATTATAAACAAATACATATGTGTATATTTGTACTTTATATTAATTATATATGAATGTATTTTTATGTATGTGTATATATTTTTATAAATAACCAAGTTATAATACCGTGTTTTTCTTTTTGTAATGTAATAAAAAATTTAAATAAAGTCAATAATAAAACCTTTTTTTAAAAATGTATATGTATGTTCATTTTTGTATTTCGGATTATTGGAACAACCGCTTTATTGGGACAAAATAATATGCAACCGATTTGTCCCAATAAAGCGGATTCGACTGTAGTACAAAAAAAATCATACAAAAATAATTAATTTCCAAATAATAACAATTACAAACAATGGTTTCATATTACTTTTTTTGGGGGATTAAATTTATTTTTCATTTTTACCATAATATTATATAAGAGTTTCCTAGAAGCACTTGAGGTTGGTCTGCCAGATTTATTTTCAGTTTTTTATTTTTAGGTAGATAATTATCATGGCACAAAATATGACCGATAAGTGGCCATATACATTTTACAGACACAACTCCCAGGTGCCCGATATAAATCATACGAACATTTCACATTCAGTGTGTTTCAAAATGATAGACAACGCGTTCTGTTTGTGGTTCATTTTATTTTTGTAGTTATCCAACGAGTAAACGTTTCTTTAAGACTAAAACTTTATTTTTTATTTACATGGCCATCATATTATAACATTAAATTAAATTATGAAGGTACCTAATTGTTAGGTATTATTATTTTAGGTATTTTTTAAGCTATTATTATTTTTAAATTAATCACTAGAAAAAAAGGAAAAATTGCAGCTTTGCTCCCACATGATTTTTTCAATTTTTTATGAAACATGTATTTCAATGGGTTAAGAATGATGGCGTATAAGACAATTTGTGCAATCCAATGTTTTTAAAGTTTTATACTTATATTTATCCTTATAAAGTATACGATTTTACGTTTTTAAGCGTGCGCAAACGCTATACTTAACTGCCGCGCACACGTCTACAAGGAATTTTTCATTTTTAATTTTTTTTTTTAATTATACACAGTAACTGTTATACATAATACTAGATCAGGCACGCACCCAGAATTTTTGCTTGGGGGGGGGGCTTAATAATTTTTCTTTTTCCATTACACACAAGTGCACAATTAAAACTAATTTTTAAATATAACCACTTTTGTTTATTATTATCATATGTTATATTATTATGTATTTAATATTTATATAATTATATTTATAACTAAATATTATGACAAATGAATTTAAAATTTAAGTTTCCTGGGTCCTTTTCAGAAAGAATTTTTAATACTTCGGATTCTTTAATTTGTATTTCTCGATGTATGTGGAGATTTGCCAGACCAATTAAACGTGACTGTCCCATTGTGTTCCGGAGATAGGTTTTAATTCGCCGTAGTGTGGAAAACGACCTCTCAGCCGTACTTGTACTTACTGGTAACGTTGCAAATATTTTCAAAAGTATAAATACTGATTCAAATATTTTAATATCACATAAATTTAAACTATCAATTGCGTTTAGTGGTAAATTATAACTACAGTTTTTAAATTTTTCATACCACAATTCGAATTTGGCCTTAGCAACAGAAAAACTAATTTGTTGCATATCTTTTTCGTAAAAGTCAAAAAGATTTTTAAACTTGAAATTTGTTCATCTGTTGGATTACGTAAGGTTGGTAAAAGACATTTATAACTTTTTAAGAGATTTTCATGTATTAAAAATCAATCAGAAAGACTATTAAGAAATGAATCGACCCATGGAATAAAAATTGAACGTCTATAGTATTCTTCAATATTTTCAGATGGTGTATTACATCGCTTAGTTTGGTGTTTTGTTAGTCTAGGTATAGACATAGTCAAGTCTAAATTAGAGGCAACTTCTTATGCTTCTAAAAATAATTGTTTAAATTCATTGTCGGCATTACTTCTAAGTCGTCGGAGAATAGACACTATTATATGTGTATCTAACATAATAACAAAATTTTAAAATAAAACATTATCATTTATCATTGATATACTATATTTTCTATAATAATGTGTAATTTAATGAAAAAAAAATTTTTGGGGGGGGGGGCTTAAGCCCCAAAGCCCCCCCTCCCCCTTGGGTGCGTCACTATACTAGATAACGTATTCTGTAGGTAATGAATAATCACATTAAGCGATGATGTATACCTCTAAAACCCTCACGTTCAAATGATTTTACTTAGGTTTCAAAGTAAAAAACAGTGCTAACAATTAAATAATTAATATAGGGACTCCCTCCGACTACTGACTCAGATCACCTGCTCAAAAATAACCAAACAGGTAATTTGAACTTACCCGTATACCTAACCAGTAAAAGAAGAAAAGTAGTCACTCCCTAGTCCTCCCTACGACCAAACCTGGGCTGTTCACCATTAAAATAAATAAAATATGTATTGCTGCGCGGCACTAAAGAACAGCGTCTTAAGCATGCATAAAAACGTAAAATCGCAAACTTCAGAAGGATATAACTTCCATAATAATGATAAAAGAAAAATTTTTTTAGGATCATTATCCTTACTCATTAAAATACATATGTTTTAAAAAAAAACATCGAAATAATAACACGGGAGTTGAACAGCAATAATTAAACAGAAAAAATGTTAGTGCATATTTTCATTGCATATTATAGGGTGTATAAGTGCATAAGTGCATGCATATTATTTTGGTGATTTTTAGAGCTATAAGTTGTGTACCCCACAATTACACCCATATATTTAAATGACAGTTATTTAATAAATGTATTATTAGGCACTAAAAATTGTTTTTTTTTAATACAAGAGCATACCGGCATGTAAAATAAAAATGTATTATGGAGGATTTCGACTGTTCCTAAAAATATTAAGCACCTTCTAGCTTCTTCCCCCCAAGATGAAGTCCCAGTTACGTGGCTGCTATGTTGCTGTCATCCACTCAACGCAAACATATTTTATTTTATAGAAACATGTGTCTGTAGTCTGTTTCGGCAGCGTCTGTAGACTTCCGGTCAGATTAGTATGATACACGACTGAAGAATATAAGGTAAATGGACGTTTATCCGCATCCTCCAAATTGTTTTCGGTGAAGTAGGGACATCTTCCTCCGATACATTTTTAAAGTTTATTATATAATAACATTTTTTTATATGTATTATTTAATCATTATTTTTTTTTCGTCTTATGTCTAATTTTGCCAAAAGACAGAAATCCAACTTTTTTTAAATTTATTAGTTCTTATTTATATAGAAAATCTTTTAGATATTATATTTTTATTTAATATTTTTTTAAACTTTAATTTTTATTCTGTTAAATGTATATTATGTGTTATAATACTTGTTTTAAACATGACTCATTATTTCAATATCAATTTTTATTGTTTCAAGTAGAAAATTACCAAAATATATATTTTTAATTAATTTTATTTATGAAGATATTTAGAAATGTATTCTGTGTTAAGGCCAAAAATTAGACGATATCTAGGTTTAAAACATATGCATATTAAATAATCAAAAAATGTACTGAAACACTGAAAACAGCCGGGGGAAAATATCAGCGATTCGAATTTTGTTAATATGCCAGTAAAATAATATAGCCTATGAGTATGAAGTGCCGTCATAACAAATATATAAAAAAAGTTACGTTTTGGCACCCTCGTCAACATGACTAAAAACATTATGTATGTAATGCGTTTCTATATATTCAGTAAATATGTAACAACAAGGTCTGTCCATAAAATATAGATAGCAAATAATAACATATCGGGCCTGTCGTCGTGCAGCATTTTAGACAACAATGTATTGCGTATGTACCTCTGTAGTTCTATTAGAAATCCACTAGGAGCGGTACCAGCACTTTAATTTTTAGTATTTTAGATAAGAATTCTCGTACGCTACTATCGAACTTTTCGCGGCATACTCATAGATAATAAAGAGATGGATAGGGAGTTTATCATGCATTCTTGTAGTACTATCAGTTTGAAGGTATATTGGGTAAATATTAATCGTGCGCGAACCTACAGTATTTTAACTAACTTAAAAACTCTAATTATATTATATTGGGTTTAATCATTATGATTCTATCCTATTTTAAAATATTTATGTGCATCGACGATTTTATTTGAAGTTTGAACATAACCTCAAATAATAATTCGTGTAAGAAAGAGAACATTTTTAAAGATGTTTTCTCTCTCCCACAAAAAAGAACGCAACCCCGCACATTGTTAATATAGCCATAACCTAACCTATCCATATATTTATTGGTATAGTCGGCGTCGATCCATTTTATCTCGACTCCTACCATCGTGTTACTTGTTTTCGGTTATTTTTTTACTACTCGTTGTCGCCGTATATAATATATTAGTGTGTCACTCACTGTCACTGTGTCCTTCGTATGGTTGCTTAATAGTTTATCCTCTGGAAGATTACATATCCGCCACAGATTCCATCGTCCTGACGCACCGACGCACCGACGCGGTTCAATCAAGTCGTTAGTTTTGAACTGCCAGAACTATTTTGTTCAATCGTCTACTGTTCAAGTAAGTTTGCAATACGCATTAATGTAACAATTGCTATTTACTTAAGTTGTCAGTGTGTCCTTCGCATGGTAGCTTAATAGTTTATCTTCTTGAAGGTTACATTTCCGCTGCAGAGCCTATCACCCTGACGCACCGACACACCGACGCGGATCAATCAAGTCGCTAGTTTTGAAGTGCCAGAACCATTTTGTTAAATTGTCTGCTGTTCAAGTAAGTTTGCAATCCGCATTAATATAACAATTGCTATTTACTTAAGTTGTCAGTGTATACGAATCGTGCGCGCAGTCGAGATATCCAACCGACGGATTGGTGCGGTGGATTGCCTCCTTCCAACGGGAGTTGGGCTTTTTATTTTTTGTGTAGGTTCCTAGGTGTAACTATTTTTAAAATAATACAATTTTTAAATACCTGAGCATAATTAAAAACGAATCATTATTAGGTACTGACTTAGTGTTAATAAAATAACTCATGGCTTATTTTAATCGCCTACACCCAGGGGTATTTGAGCTTTATCAGTAACATATGGCACTTATTTTAGTGCTTTATTTTTCAAATAATTATAACAACTAAAATATAATATTTATGTTTATCAAATAGTTGTGATGGTAAATATCAAATTTATCATCAGTGGTTAAAGTTCACACGGCTTGTTGGTGCTAATTATATTCTTCAGTCTGACCTCCCTCCTAAGTTCATCAAAACTTATTGCTGTCTGGTACTACCTTTTTGCTCATTAATCAATAAATTATTTTACTAGAAAGAACATTGTGTAAGAATAAAGTTAAACATTTATTTAAAACTATAAAGTACTAGTTTAGTATCTATTGTGCTTTCAATGTTCTAATCATTTGTTATTAAATTTATAGTTAGTTTTATTGTCACATAAAGTTAATATTTTTCCTAAGACCAAAAGTTTAAAATATATTCTATTTTGTATAGTTAATTTTATTTTAAAAAATTAATAATAATCAGAAATATCAAATTGTACTTATAAAATTGTAATAAGTAATAATGGTTATAAATTTATAATATTGAATATTCACTAAATATTTTATAGATATTATAAACAGAAAAGTATAATTGCATTATTCAGGAAAGAAAATTATAACTATTTACTCAGTATCCCATACATGTTTCATTGTTTCACTTGTTATTATATTTCTATTAATTCATAGAATTACTGCTGAATTGAATATAATTTGATATTATATAATATGTAGGTAATAATTCATATTATAATAATGATTAATTATAATTTATAATTTAGTTGTGGACCTTTAGGTAAACAAATACATACAATTAGTTGAATATCATCATTGATTAAACTATTAAAGTATTTAAGGACTTTTAAACTATAAAGTATAAATGTAGTTTGATGATTAGAATATAAAAATATGAGAGATAAATGGCAGGCATTAACTAAACCTTTACCAACTATATTCATACCTATAATATGTACTTCTAAGATATTTTTACAAAATAGATATTACAGAACATTAATTTTTAGATTACTACTAACCAACCTATAAGCTATTTTTAATTTGATTGTTATTTGTGTTTATTGTGACATTAAACATTTACCACACAAAATAAATAAAATTATTTATTTATATTATGTTTATTTTTATGTTACATTTTTTGTATGTAGATTTAATCTTAATAGTTAATTATTAAATAATACAATGTGTATTTAAATAAATACAACTTGTGTAATTTAATATATCTATAACCATATATAGTACTATTTAATTTCATATAAAGTATCATAACCCGAAAAAGAAATATTTTATTGGCCAGTTTACAATCTTAAAAACTCATTAAGTTGAATTTTTTTGTAAAACCTTGATAGTTCCAAAATCCTAATAAGTTATAAATTTGCATTTCTTTTAGATTTCTTATTGAGGTTACACTGCATAAACAGAATGACATTTTCAAGTGCATTGTTTGATTGTAATTCAAAATTTAATGGAAGGTTTCTCTTCAATTATATAGCCATTTTTTAAATATTATAAATACAAATGGACACATTTTTTTCATTGACATTTAAGTTCAATTTAAATTAAATTACATATTTCAATGAAAAATAAAGGTTTTAGGTTAGTTATTTTGTTATAAATCAAAAAAAAACTTCTGGGGCCTTGAACATTTTTTTGTACATTGTTACATTTTATATACATATTGGTAATGTCATTTTAAAACATTTAGATGCATTTTAAGCTATTGCTTATTTATTGCACAAACCTATTCACATCTTTTTAATGTAAAGCAGTACATATTGACTTAAAAGTTAATATAAATCATAAATTATATAAATATAGGTAATTACCTATATTATAATTAAAAATTAATACAACTTATAATAAAATAAATTAATGCAGTGTTCTTATTAAATATTAAATCAACCTAGCATAATACTAATGATAAAATAGATTAGGTACTTTAATGGTAATATAAGTATATTATAAATATATTGAATCTCCTAGTGAATAAAATAAGTTTGATTCATGTATTTTTTTCAAGTTATTATCTGAAACACAACTTAAAACACTTCAAGGGGCAAAAAAAGAATTTGAGTGATTGAGACTCTACTGTATATAGTAATTTATAAAATTAAATATAAAATTAAGGAATACAAAAGGATTAAGTAAGAACTATATTAGGAATAGCAGAAAGATTTTTCATTATTAGTGTAAGAGGAAAAAAATGTGTACATATGTAATATAGGTACTAGTCTAACAATCCTTCTTTGTTTAGGATTGTTTTTAATTTGTGATATATATAACATATTATACAGAGACTTACTCAATGAAACCTACTGTACTAGTGTACAGCAGAATATGTATAATTATTTAAAAATTGAAACAAATATTTGTGGGGATAACTATGACACAATTTGTGTAAAAAAAACTAAACTTTTAAGTTATAATTAAAATTAAATTATGCATCACACTTAAAATGTATTTTTTGACATTTTCACAAACAAAAAAAACATCAATGTTATTCTCAAATCATAAGTTTTAAATATATCTACTATCTACCTTCATTTCTGTTATCTTAAGAAGACTTCATACCCGCATGTTTTGGTTCCGTCTTTCAACTCAGCAGATCACGTTTAGCTCCATAAGTATTTTAAGATATACAAACAATTTACAATTTTAAAATACTTTTAACTCGCTTCAAAATTAAAATATAATGAAAAGCTCACGAGGTTGTCTAAATAATAAACTTACCTTAAAATTTTAGGAAAGGTTAATTCATTCAAATTTTTAAACTAACGGATCTAAACGTGATCTGCCTAAATTACAATTTACTATGTTATGCACTTCTAAGATGGAGAAAACACATGCGTGTATAACGTCATCTTTACAGTAGAACATAATTATTTTGTTGTTTGTTAATTGTATGATTAAGACAATGTCAAATTAAAATTAATAGATCATTGTAATAATCAACAGGCCTGATCACAGTCAACTACAATTTTATAAAAACAAAACAAAAGCAATGTCTTCAAAGAAACCCTCTCAACATAGTGGAGAACCAAGTGGCATTAGAAGATCAGCAAGGAAAAGATGTCCAAAACGACATCAAACATTATCACCTAATCTGCCAAAAACCAATAATGTCAAAGCTGGTAGTAAATCTGCCAAAGTTCATACAGTCATTGATGAAAGAGTACTTTCATTACCTAGGTTAAACCCCACTCAAATTAAACCGGATTCAGCAATCTGGTATGTAGTAAATCATGAAGACAATTATGAAATTGAAGATATAATCACAAATGAGGTATTTGATAACATACAATGGGAATGTGAATCAATGTTAGCAGATGTAATTCTACGCAAAAGACAAATAAAAACTGTTACTAATTTGATTTCTTCTGTGCAAGAAGTTGATTCACAAAATAATGTAGAAAACACTGGTAAACTACCTATGATTTTACCTAAAGTTGCTGGAGAATTATCTCATGATGATACATTTTCTTCAAATAATGTTGAAAATGAAGACCTACCCCCTGAAAATGAAGACCTACCCCCTGAAAATGAAGACCAACCCCCTGAAAATGAAGACCTACCTCCTGATCAAAGCGAATCGTCAAAAAAATTTTGGAGTCTAGTTGAACCTTATCTTGCTGAAGTAAATAAAGAATCCCTCAACTGGTTAGAAGATTTGGTAATGTCTTATGACTCTGAACCCGATATAATACCACCTTTAGGTGAACACTATACAAAATGCTGGGTACGGGAAGAAATGCAAAATCAACAAGCTTCAAGCTCCTCTCGTCAGCCAAATATGAAAACTCCACTAGCTGAACGAGTATCCCCTGATGTGGTAGAACTAATTACTAGAGTTAATAACGCTGCCCGCGGTCGTAATGAATCAACACCAATATACCAAAAAGTTATTGCAGCTCTTTTAGAACATTCAAATATGTCACAAAAGGAAATAGATAAAGATAGTGAAATTGATAGTGATGCTGAAGACAAACTAGAAGAAATGAGCAATGTTTGTGAAGAATTTTATGAAGAACAAAATATTATAAAACAACTGGAGACATTAGGATTGATTGGTAAACAAATCAAGCAATTAACATCATCTTCAAGTTTACCTCATTCCTCATCACAGGATGCTGATGAGGATGATGAAATTTTAAAAGAGTTAATGCAGTGTGAAGCTGCGTTAAGTAATATACGAGAACTGAACAAAAACCAATTGACTGGATTATTAGAAAAATGCTATGAAGATCTTTCTCAGCAAAAGATAAAAAAAAAACTCAAAAAACTGGATGATCAGATTTTAAACTTAAAAAAACAAGGCAAGTCGCGAAAAAAATCTAGGAAGACTGCACTAATGAGACATCTATTAGATAAACGCTGTGATTACATAAAGCGGTTGCAATCGTGTAATATAAGTTCTATTAACAGCGATGATTCTGAATTAAGTGATGAAGATGTGTAGAGTGATGCATGTATTATTATATCTGATGATTATGTAGTTGTATCCAACAATGAGTAATTTGTTATTTTATTTAATATGAGGCCGTAGACATTAAAATTTATGTATCACTACATATGTATACATTATAAAGGAAGGTTACTCTTATTTTTCATTTGATATATTATTTTCATGCCTCTTAAATATTTTAGATGATTTTTTTTTTCAGCTAGTGGCATACACATTTGTTTGTGTCATCTATTTGGTATATTTATTTAAAGATATGTCTGTTTATTTATTGACTTAATGTTTTTATGTTAAGACCTTACAAATTAATCCTATTTAGCATTTTTATTTTAACCAACTTTTGTTTATAAAACACAGTAATTGTTATTATGTCTGTTTTTTTTTATAATTTTGCTTAAATATTTAAGCCATAAAATAAAATACAATATGAGAACATTATATATTTTGTTAATCATTATATTTTAATACATCGTTTTTATATTGTATACAAAAATTAACAACAAAAAGATTTTAGAATAAGTTGAAAACTTTGAAAATTGTAATTTTTTTTATAAACTAATTTGTTTTTATTAATTATTTTACATAATAGGATTATGTACACATTTTTTTAAATAGAAGTGCCTCACTAATAGGGCTGGAAGTTGAATGATTTTTATAAAATTTGTAATTTTTTTTTACATGTTTTTGCTGTTTCAGATAATTCAATAAAAGTGAATAACTTCCATATTTTTTTTTATAATAAATTAGCTTTTTCTTCAAGTAAAAACTAAAATGCTAATAATTACCTTAAAAATCGAAAAAGGTATAAAGTTGAAAAGATTTTTATAAAATTATCAACACGGTAAACTTGCAGGTCAATAGCAAATATATATTTACAAGTAAAAAAAATAAATTTATCTATATTTTAACTAAATTAAAAAAATATATATATAATTGATGAAGTAACTTTCTTTCTATATTATAGTTTTAAGATTAAAAAAAATTATTAAAATTTAAATATATTTTTGACTATTAACTAATAAAATTTGGTTCATTATCAGCCTACTGATGCTTTTCTTTTTTTTTATCAAATAAACTATTATGTTTCAAATGTTGATACTATTCTTAAATTATTAATTACAGAGGCATGATTGTATCAGGATGACAGGATTCATAACTAATAAGTAATAACTAATTATAATACAATTGATAATTAAAGATCATAATTTTTAATAGAGTAGTAATACATAATAATATAATACTGAATTTGGTCTATTCCCTATTATGACATTCAAATATCACTAAAAGTGCATTATAAACAATTGGTATGTTACAGTTATATAGGTAATTTATAAATCGTGAACCTAAAATAATTTTAATCAAACAACAAAACTAAAGAACAATTTACTGTTCAACATAATGTTTTGATTGTAAATGCCTGTAAGACATTAAAAGCAACAAAGAGCATGATAATTATCTTTGATTTTAAAAGTTCAACATATACTTTTGTAGTTTGCAACCTCTCAACAAATTAAAGATATTCTTTTACAATTTACAGTACTACTTAAACAACCTATTAATTATCATTTAGTAAATTTGGTTTTCATTCACATAATATTTATTTTTTAAACTTGCACATTGCACAGTTAGCAGTATACAGCTTTAGATTGTCTTTAGGGATACTCAATATTTTCAGAGGAAAATATTATAGAAATGAAGATGCCAAATCAGACAAACAGCCAGAATTCACCAAGTAAACATTTATATTTGCAAATGAATTAATAATTAATTGTGTATGTTATAATATTTTTTAGTTGATTATTAAAATCAAATTTTCTGACTAAAATTATGTTATTAATTGATGAATAAATCATTATCATTTGTTTAGCCATTGCAATTGAGTAAAATCAAAATTTTATGAAGCAATGCTAACACTTGAGTGATAAACCATGAATCGGGTGCAGTAAAAAAGTAATATTTCAATAGAGAAAACTGTTGTTGTGATATCGTTTTTCATATTTCTCATACATTCAGTGGTTGATTAATGGGGGCTATAATTCTTATTATTTATTCAAATAAAACAATTTCCTAGCATTATTAGTGGTCATCCAGAATGATTAATTGTTTAAAAATGGGAGTAATAAGTTGAATGTAATTCTAAGTTAACATATTTTAAAATATTGATAAACATATCTACATAATTTTTTTTTTAATTACTATTTATGATAGACACAAGTTCTAAATATATTCTTTTAATATTAAAATCTTATAATTTTGTGACATTTTGAACTACTCAAGGAGTGTCCTGAGATATTACAAACTCTTATTTTTCAAATGAGACCCCTTTTTAGATTCTGAAAGAGAAATGTATGTATTTTTACTTAAAATTGATAATGTTGTTTTCCTGTTGTGTGGCTGGCCGATAAACATATTTTCCAAAATAACTATTCCCTTTCAGAAATACATATTGATGCAGTTGAAGAAGTTATGTAAATCCTATGACCTAAATTAACAAATGGCATGTTTAATCTTAATTTCACTAAGCAGCACAATAGTTTAAATTCAATTAAGCTATAGTCTACTGATTTATATCCTACCACAGAGGTACTCAAACTTGTTTAGTTTTAATATTTATAATAATAACGTTAAATGCATAGATTATATCAAGAAATTAATAATAATTGCGCATAGAAAACTGATATTAAATGTTAAATATTTAGAATAAAACAACATTATATTAATCGTCATTATCTCTCTGTATCTTTTTTTTCTTCTGTGTCATGATTCCTCTAACAAATACTCGCTCAGTTTGTATATTTCTGCCCTTACACAATGTAAGACAAAGTAAAATACAATGTTTATGGTAGGTAGCATTGAATTGCATTAAAACAAACACATCATCCTTCATCGACATCTATGTGATAGCTTTGGCTTTTTCTCAGAGTGCATCTATGTAATATCAGCTATCTGCATGCCAAATGTCAGCCCAATCTGTCCAGTGGCTTAGGCTGTGTGTTAATGGATCAGACGTTATCCTTTTATTTATATAGAGGTTATAATGTTGATGGCTGTCCAAAGAATACAATATTTATGTCCACTTCTTCATCACTGTCATTCACTTAGAAGCTTTAAATGTTTTGGTATCTCTTGATATCTGATAAATCTTTTATTTAAAAAAACACATTAATTCAGCAATATGAAACTTCTTAATCAACTTCTTATATATACCACTATAAGAATTTAATCAGATAAAAAACAATTCTAAATTCCATTATATTAATTACCTTCAACGATATTATATACCATGTTAACCGATGAACTGGTGTCAGAATGTTTATTGTCAGAACATACAGCTGGTTTAACTAAAATATATTCAGTTAATTTACTTCAACTGATTAACAAAATTAATAAATATTAAATTCAATTAGTAGATAAATACAATTTTTAAGATGCACAGATCACATAATATGACCAAGTTTTTTGTTGATCAAATAAAACTTGTGCAGTGATTTTACTACTTTAGGCAAGCTTTGTCTTCTGCATCAAAGTCGAATGCTGAAAACCTTGATAACTTTGAAAATGTCGAAATAGCAATGCCCATGAATTGAAGGCCATGTCCCCACTTTTTTCAAATAGCATTAGGATTTGGGAGAATGTCGTGCCACGGCTAAAACAAACGTTTCCAATGAGGAAAAGGTGACGATCAAGGATGGCTGAATGAGGATCAGTGGGACCTAAATATTATATGATTTTCGATTTTCAATCCATAGCTGCACAAATTGAACATTATCTACTATATTGGTAATTACACTAATTAGCGTTTAAACAAATATTTATTCAATAATTTACATGTGTTTGTGAGTACAATTGTAGTCTGGGGATTTTTTTCCTAGGGTCTGAGTTTTTTTCCGAAGAATTAGCGTACATGTTCTTATCTGCAGCTCTAGACGCCTTGAATCCCCGCGCAACAAGTGATAACAGTTGGAAACCCACATTTTCTTTTTATTCAATTTAAAATTCTGCTTATATGCCATTGTGACGCTCCCGTCGGCGTAACTTTAAATGGCAACATGTGTCCGCACTCCATCGGTCAGCTGTTTCGTGTTATTACATACCGTTATCATGCCATTGCTGTACCGGTAATAATATTATGCCTTTTAATGTAATCTGTGTACACATATCTTTACTTCTTTTTAATCTTTTTCATAGTTTCCTTCCTCTTGTTTGTTCGGCGCATTATATTTTTTCGTTATCCTCGTTTCAACAAGATCAGTATTAAATCCACGCTCCGATCGCTTTCCCCGACGTGGACTCGAAAGTTGCCGATTTTTCGATTGTCCGGTTATCGGGTAAGTCTACGGCTTGTACGGCCATATTGAATACCACATTTGTTACTAGAATGCAGTAGACATTTCAATCCAAAGGTTAAGCTATCGACCTATCTTATTAAAATCTATGCACAACGTTCCTGTGAAACAAATATGTGTTTGTCTGTAAATGAAATCGCATTGCTATTATTTTATCATAATCAATATTGCAACAGTGGATATTTGACATATAATTTTATTTATGTAGATACTATGATTTATTAGTATAGAAAAACAAGGGGTGGCTGGTTTTATTTAATAGGATAATTAATATGGTGTACAATGGAAGGGGAGCACTATACTAATGGTTATTTCATCTCCTCTTCATGAGAGCTTCAGAATCAGATACATTATTATATTATTGCCAAAGTGTAATGTTCAAATTATTAAAAATTATAATTATTCCTCAGGTGTGACATACCTTATACGATGCTTTTTTTTTGCTATAATTTTAGTTAGAACGAAATATAGCTGAAGTTCTCAACTGAGCGAATGTTAAGCCCGTAACTAATTTGTATATGTATAATATCTGTATCTATTATTTTCATATATTTAAATAAAAGTTTGTTTTAAATATTTTTTTATGAATATAGATAAATTAATATTTTTAAATACAACTTAAAAATCTATCAAACCAAGCTAAAAAAACAATTATTTTAATAATAATATCCAACATTTTGTGTTTAGTCCCCCCAATTATTTTTTTAAGTACTGGAAAATGTCTAGTTTTCATCCACCAAAGTAAAAACTATATTCAATTTTCTGTCGGAAACTTCTTTTGAAGTTGATGATCTGAGCATTATTTCTACTAGAGAGACATTTACTTGTCATTTACTTGACATCAGTCAAAAATAAATTAACAAATAATAAAACAAACTTATAAATTATTTTCAAGTAATGTTAGTTGGTATTTATAAAAGCAATTTATATTACTATTATATTTTATAATCCTTTAACAATATCAATAATATGGTCTAGCCGTTCTAGGCCTTAGCTTAAATTATAACAGTTCAC